AGTCCATCTGGGGGCTGAGGAGACGCTTCCCTTGGAATGTCTCTCCCCCCTCCCTGTAACCTTGAAGCTCCATTCCAGAATCCTCCCCGCTCATGCCTTCCATCACAACCACCTTTCCCAGCCAACATCAGTATAGGTTCTGCTTTATGTATGAGTTACGTGCTTCAGGTAACAGAGTCTTTCTTTCTTGATGCATGGCTTACTATTTCCTGTTTTACTGGTTTTCCCTTGCTGATTTTATTCTTGTCTTGGTTGTATTCAGAAACTATCTTTTACTCTGTTGGAATATTAACTCTGATATAATGTGAGATGCTTTATTTTGTTGTATAAAATAAATTATAGCAGAGACACAAAACAATAATGATTTTCAGCAAAGTATCAGATGCTAACAGGAAATTGAGTACTCTTTCTGCTGCCTAAGAATGTTTAATGGCTTCCAGTAAGCAACAGGTTCAACATATAAAACAGAAAAGACAAATCTAGCAGGGCATTTTGTTTAAACTATTTGAAAGTAGGGCAGTTCTACTTGTAAGAGAAGAAACAGTGTTTTCTGTGTCTTTGCCACTATTGCAACGTATTGCTATTTTGTGTTTTTTTTCCCTTTATCTTTTCTCCAAGGAGCGTAAATTATACATTTCATCAACTGTGGAAACTGTGTCAAGCACCCCTACTCTCTCACGCTCAAGCTCCATAAGTGGAGTGGATATGGCAGGTCTCCAAACATCTTTCATATGTCAGGTATGTATTTCAACCTTTTTTTTTTTTTTTTGCTATTTGTGTGTATTTCTGGAACATTATGTTTTAAGCATTTTATTAGCATTTTTGTTGTATCCAACTAAAGCTTCTTTGCTCAGATGAGAGCATATTTTCAAATACTTTTATCGCTAAATATGAAATAGAGATGGTAACGGCTGTAGAGCAAAATATGGAACATGAATAAAATTAGAGTTTTGTCCTATTCCACTTTTAGTGAATTCAGATTAAAGTTTAATTTAATTTATATATCCTGTGTAACTTTTTAATAATATCAGATAATCAAACTATTTTGCAATAAACTTTCTAGAACATTAATTTCAAAAACCACAGTGATAATTTTGCTACCGTCATTGCCAAGGCAACTTTTAATTTAATTTCTTAAGGTTATTTTCATATTTCATATGTAATCTCTTTCCAAACAATTAAATCCTTACAAGAAATGTAAAGCATATTAGGCTGTAAAATAGCGACTGACTAGAGGTCATTTAATGCCCATCATGGCTGAGCAGGGATTTCTGTCTGCTTGGTCCATCCGTGGTGCCATACTGTCACATTTTATTAGCTTTCTTATTAGGGTTAAATAAAAAGTTAATATTATTTTGGTACAAATTCATAATTATTTTGGCCCCAGTCTAACTTGTATCTGCAAAGCATTCAATTTCATGGTTATATCGCATTGCAGGATGACCCATATGATAATTCCTTTGGTTCAGTGTCTACGAGTGGGACCAATCTGTATGACGTAATGAGAATGGGAGCAGGTTCAAGTATTATAGAAAATCTCCAATCGCAATTAAAATTACGGGATGGAGAGATTTCTCATCTCCAGGTAAACTGAGAATCATGTATGAATTCTTTACATAGGAATGCATAATCAAGACTGATACCATTTCAGTAGGAGTAATTAACTAATCTAGGTTCAGCTGTAGTTGGATTAATATGATAATCAGATGTTTTAGATTTCTGTTCTTACAAGTCAAAAATAAGAAAAAAGCAAACTGGTTTATGACTCAAGCCTTCCTAGCTGGACCTATTGGCAGGATGAGCCAAACAGGTGCAATCAAGTGGTTTTAAAATTCTGGTTTTGGGACATCCAAACAAGTCCAATATTTATTTAATCATTAATCAACTTCCTTAGGGCATAAACTTTGTTTTATCAAACTGGTTACTTTAGAAACCAAATGAAGCCCTTTTTTTTTCATTTCTTTTGTTCTTTGGAATTGGGACAGAACTGCAAATATGTAAGGATATTGTTTGTAGGGCTGCTTCACGTTTAAAATATTCCTTTTATAAATACTGGCATTATGTAATAAGACCAAACATTTACAGACATTTGGGTTGACCAGTTAAACTCAGCTATTTGTTTAAAGACTCATTAAATCAATTTTAATAAGTAATTATCTATTTTCATGTGCTCATAAAGGCTGAGAAGGCCATTCTGTACATAAGAAGTGGGAATGGGGCACTGTCTACTACAGGTAGTCCCCAGTTTAAGAACATGTTCCATTCCCAAGGTCTGTCCTTAAGTTGAATTTGTATGTAGGCCAGAACAGTATTATTGTATAATACCGTATAAATAGTATTATGTAATTCACTTGAACCATTGTGTATTTAGCTTGAATCATTGTGTATTTAACTCGAACTTTGCTATAATAGGCTCTGTTTTTAACTATGGATCATCCTTCAACCGGGTGTTCTTAACTCCGAGACTACCTGTATTCTAGAAGACCTTGCGCCCTGAGATATAGCTGCCTTAGGTTGCACAAGGGTCTGCAACAGGAAGGAAGTTCTCCTTTGGTCTCCAGACCGTCAATCATTGAAGTAAATAAAAGAAGTTCATAAAAGCCTGAGTGCATAAAAAGAAATGTTTGGATCCCACTTAAATTACAGAAAGATATTCAGAACTATTTTAAATAACATGTCTGAATGATATTGAAATGACAAGGGAGAGATTATCAATTCAAGAAGAAATGATGTTATCTTATTCAGTACATGTATTACCAGCTTACAAATTGGACACCCTGTACTAGTTGTTGGTAAATTATCCTGCTTTTAGTAAGCACAAGGCTTTGTACTAAGGGCTGGGAAATTTTACAAGGTCTGCTTCACTGATGAAAGTTTGAGGAAAGGCTCTTAAAATTGTTTTGTAAAGTAACATAGACTCCTAGTGACTCTTTTGTTGGAAGTAACAATTACTTCTAGTAATTTTGTTGTGAAATAACATAGAGAGACTTTTTATGTAGGAAGAATGCCTGCATAGAAGCCTTTTCTGGTTTTGGAATGTTGATTTCATGGGCTGCATCTTTTAAAGTCAAATCTGAGTTTCTTTGCACACTAGTAAAATATGGATTTCTTTCCATTTAGTCATTTTACTTCATCCTTTGCAGGTTAGAAGATGTGGAACTTTGCAGTCTTTCCCAAGCTCACAAAAACTATTCAGACTTATATTATAAATGTTTATTGAATTGGTTTTGTTTAAGAATTGTTCTTTATTTGTATTAGCCTCTTATTTTGCATATAGTACAATTAATATAGAACTTAGGTTTGCACTCAAAACACTTAACTAAATGAAAGGCAAATTAATAACTTAGTGAATGGGTTTTGAAATCTTACTGTCAAATATTATTTTAGTTGGAAATTGGAAACCTTGAAAGAACTCGATCAGTAATGGCTGAAGAGCTGGTGAAATTAACAAATCAAAATGATGATTTAGAAGAAAAAGTTAAGGAGATTCCCAAGTTACGTGCACAATTAAGGGTAGGTTTTATTTCATTGTTTATATTTAAATTTTGTCCTTCAGAATTTATGAATGTGTCCTTGCTGTACAGGTAATCCTCAGTTAATTACCATAATTGGGCCCAGGAACTCCATTGCTAAGCTATGCGGTCTTAAAGTGAAAAATCATATGACTGCACTGACTTTAAAAAATCATGTGATCACACTGACAGTGGTTGTTAAGCAAATCAGACATAGTCATTAAGCGCGACATCACATTGCTGTGACTTGCGACTTCCTGCCAGCTTACCCATTGACTTTGCTTGTTGGAAGTTGGCAGTGAAGGTCGCAAAGGGCAGTCAGGTGAATGCAGGACACTGTGACTGTTGTAATTGCATGCCTGTTGCCAAGCAGTCAAATCGTGACCATGGGGAAACTGCAACGGCCGCAACTTTGAGAACTGGTCATAAATCTTGTTCATCACCCTCATAACTTTGGACAGTTGCTGAACGAGTGGTTGCTAAGTGAGGACTATCTGTAGATGTAAAATAATTTTTCTAAAATTAAAAAAAAAAACTAGAACTTCCCATATTTAATATAACTGTTAGAATCTGAGTATCATTAAATGCTGTCAATTTACTTCAGAATAAACATAAAGAAGAATGTTATTAATCTAAAACCATACAATGAACAAGAGCAACAGACTTTTGGGGACCTAGTATTATTTTTACCATAAAAGTCATCCAGTCATTCATTGTCTAGACATTTATACCCCTTGCAAACATAGTACTTAGCAAACCAATATTAAGATCATACAGATTAAAAAATGCTAGAAAAACAAAACAAAATATAGAATCATTTAAAAAGCAAGAGAATCAGTGGATAGTGAATAGTGTTTTGGCTGCATAAGAACTTTTATATATTACAATAACAAAAATTAATGCTGACAGAAAAGTGTAAGAGTCTTTGTGGAAAACAGTTTTATAACTACTGGGCAATATTGTTCTAGGATTTGGATCAGAGATACAATACAATTCTGCAGATGTATGGAGAGAAAGCAGAAGAAGCAGAAGAATTAAGGTTGGATCTTGAAGATGTAAAAAATATGTATAAGACTCAGATCGATGAACTTCTGAAGCAAAGGCATAGCTAATTATTGTTCAGGTTTTGATCTGAAAACAATGTTGCATTAAACTGTAGAGATGTTTCTGTAAATGCAGTGAATTTGTAAAAAAATTGTATTATAAAGTAATTATAATGTTGAGTTCATACGTTGGCAGGAATCATTGTGCTTTTATGATGACTGGCTGTCAGCAATTAAATTATTTGTTAATATTTAAAATCTTTTATCTTCAGCTTAACATCAGTTTACTCTCTTGTCTCTAATAGATTTACTTGTACAGTAATGACTTTAATAGTGGAAACATATGATTGAAACCCTCACATTGATTGTGTTGTGCTGTGTCCCTATGCCAGCAGAATGGATACTGCTGGCATTTGGGATTCTTTCACCTCTGCAGTACTTGCATTGATTCCAGATCTGCTCCCAAGAGCTTGGGAATCTCTGGAGAAAATACAAAAATTGCAGAAGTGGAAGGCAAGGGAAAGTTCTATTGTGCAAAAGAAACCTATTCATATGACATTGATTTTCAAAGATGTATCTGAAAATTTGCACTGACATGAATTAAAATCCTAATGGTTATCTGTTCCTATCTAAATGAATATTTAAAGGAAAATATTGTGTTTTTTTAACTATATTAATAGGAATGGCTTGATTTGCTATAGGCAATAAAAAAGGTGGGATATCTGTATACTGTTGGTGTCCTACTCATATGATATAGTATTCTGTCTCTACAAAGCGAGCAACACAGAGCAACAATGCTTACATTTTAAAAGCAACCAGACACCTTCCACTTGATACAGTTTGGTGTATTTTTAAATGTTTTAACTATACTTTTTCAGCATAATGTAGAGAGATGGATTACCTAACATTTATTGGTTTAAAGAATTGTGAAAGGCAGTGCAGGGGCAAGTTTGTTACAAAGTTCACACTCAGATAGTTCTTTTTTTGTCATGGCCTAATTCAATTTGTGTTAATGCATTAATACTTCAAAAGTGAGTAAATTTGTTCCAGATGTTTCAAATGAGATCCAGTGGTTTGAAAACTACTCTTTAAGAAAATATTTGTCAGAATATAAATAATAGTACTGTATCTGAAATTGTCTTTCTAGCTTCTTAATTTAAGTGAGGCAGAAGAATCACCAGTATATCACTAATATTCATAAGGTGTTCAGAATATTACTCTATTGTCATCTTATTGTGGTTTGTTGTTTTTACATGATTATAAGGAATTTTTCTATAAAATTAATTTTATCCTATTGAGATATTTGACTTGATAAATCTTTTAAGGTTTTTAAAAAATGTTCCTAAAAAGTAAAAAACTATTTGATAGGTTTAACAAAATTTTACTTGCAGGCAAATATACAGATAAAAATCACTCTCTTATAATATGGATAGGTAACTTACTTCCTAGCCAGTTAATAGCGAATTATCTTATCCTAGTAAGATTTGCTTTCCTTGGGCTAACTCTCCACAACACTTTCACTTAGCTTAAACAACCTGGTAACTAACTTATATCAATAATTGTCATACTCAGAAGAAGTACATGATAATACCCTTCTGCGACTATACTGTTTCTGAATAGTAGAAGAAAGTGTCATATTATGGAGTCCTGCTGTACTCTGAGGAAAATCAGTGTGATGCTGTATGCAGAAAGCCTGTAGCATAGATATTGAGGATTCTCATTTCTGTGTTTTGGGTTTCTAAATTTAGGAATCATTTAGTTAAGCAATCACCCATCTATATTTTGAAGTGCTTCATTTTCAGGAAGTAAACTGAATTACTCAAGAAAATAACAAATGCTTATATTTTATAATATACAGGCATTTTCCTGACTATATTAAACTGCAATGTACTCTAATGAGAAAATCTACTGACTCAAAAATGACTTGTTAGCAATTCAGTAATTCTGAAATAAAAGTGGGCAATGGTTGCTGATGATATAATTTACCTTTATAATATGTGACTAATCTCCAAGATGGTGCATTCATAAATACAGAATAACATGCATATTGGAGTATAGCTAAAGATTCAATGTATGACTTAATTTTAATTCTACATTTTATTTTAATTACATTAATTTAGAGAAAATATTCTTCAGTTTTGAGAAGAGGAACACAATCTGCTGTTAGGATATCTGTGTTTGCCTTAAGAACAAAATCCTTGAAGTGTTTTTAACCTAACCCTTGAATAATTTGTCCTTTTAGATCATTATGATCACATGTGGCCTATTCATAACCATTGGTTAAACTTAGACCTAAAATGCAGGCAATCTGCAATAAAGTTTTGGCTGTTTGATATCCTATTTCCTTTGCATTCCTTCATCAATTTACTAAATTCAGTCAAGAAATGTCATGTCTATGAAATTTAATCTGTCTTTACTTTTAAAATAATTAAAATTAAAAAAAATTATTTCAGGACTGTTTAGCTTTTATTCTGCAAACAGTTTGAACACTTTCATGTATTCTTCCCCCATGAATCTGTTCTGAAGTTTTTGCATGTCAGTAGATACATGATTGTTTTGATATGTGCAAGGGCATGAGTATGTTAACTTTATAATCCGGGGAGTGATCATCTTTATAATATTAACATAAAAAATGATTGCAAGAAGCAAGGATTCCTAACTGAATGCAAATACTATTGCTTTTATTCTTTTTTTCTTTTAGAAATGAACAGGTATACATCTGATTGAGAGGGACAGAAATTAAGATTTGAAAAACAAAGCTATTACTAAGAAATATATAGCTTGGGGTATGTAATAAAATACTTCTGAAATAGGCATTTGGGCTTCTCAGTACATTTGAGTGGGACAAATAATCAGGCCAGGTCCTACTTCATATCTAGTAGGAATATTATTTGATCTTTAATTAATAATCTAATTAATTACAGCAGTATATTTTTAGTTGTTTAAATCTTCATTGTGGCTGTGGTAACATGGTTTGCCTTTTAGCTGTCTAAGAAAATCTAACATTTTATAATGTATTCTAAACTAGTTTAAATAAGGTGCTTACATTAATATGATACAGTAAACACTGTTAATGTTATGCAAATAATAGTTTAAATCTTGGTTCATCTGAGTAAAATATTTGAAACAATGTTTTATGTTTTCTTAAATTCAAAAATATATTCTGGTGGCTGGTGTTGATAATAATAGCTTGCAAACAAATAATCAGTGATGTAAATAGGTTCTGAATGCATAGGTTTGAGTTTTTATGGGCACATATACAGTCATACAAAACCATCACACTATCCCCTTTTAAGATAAGCAAAAGGTCTTAATAATAAATCAAGAAATTAAAGTCAGGAAATCATTGCAAAATGAAATATGGTTAAATTTAGTTTATACCAACACTATTCATTATATTTCCCAATGTCCATACCCTGCCTCCTATATTGCTTTTGTTCTTTAAACCTCTCATCTTTCATTTTTATTTTATTTATTTATTTATTAAACCAATTTATATAGCGGCCCATCTCACCGCAGGCAACTCTGGGAGGCATACAACAAAGCTAAAAACAATAAATACATTAAAAATATAAAAATCAAAATAGAACAGAGAATAAAAGGATGTTAAAAACAAGGGACCCATCTCACTAATTCCCCCATACCCTGAGGTCCCCAGGCCTGTTGGCATAACCAAGTCTTAAGGGACCTCTGAAACCTCAACAATGACAAGGGCAACCTCACCTCAAGGGGGAGGAAATTCCACTGTGCAGGCACCAAAGCAGAAAGGGCCTGCCGCCTAGGGCCCGCCAAATGTAGCTCCCCAAGTGACAGAACCTATAACATGCACTCTCTGCTGGATCTGGTAGGACGGGCAGATGAAATTGGGGAGAGGCAATCCCTCAGATAGCCTGGCCCCATGCCATGAAGGACTTTAAAGGTCAACACCAGCACCTTGAATTGGACCCAGAAACAAACTGGTAATCAATGCAGCTTGCTAAGCAGATGTGTAATATGTTCTACTAGAAACATAACTACTCATGCTGCTGCATTTTGTGCCAGCTGAAGTTTCTGGATACTCTTCAGGGGCAGCCCCATGTAGATACATTGCAGTATTCTAGCCAGGAGGTGACCAGGGCATGAGTGACCGTGAGTAGGTCCCTCTGATCTAGGAATGGGCACAACTGGCACACAATATGAAGTTGTGCGAAGGCCCTCCTAGCACGACTGCCACCTGCTCTTTGAGTAGGAGTCATGAGTCCAGGAGGACCCCCAGATTGCACACAGGGTCTGTTTGGGGCAGTGCCACCCCATCCAGTACCAAAGATAATAAAATCCTAGAACCAGAGGGGCTCAAAACCCAAAGCCACTCAGTCTTGCCAGGGTTCAGCTGAAGCCTGTTGTTCCCCATCCAGATCCTCACAGCCTCCAGACATTGAGATAGGACATCCACAGCATCGCTTAAGTCACCGGGGGTAGACATGTACAATTGAGTATCATCAGCATACTGATGATATCTCATCCCATGGTGACGGATGAGCTCACCCAGCGGTCTCATGTAGATGTTGAATAGGAGAGATGAAAGCACCAACCCCTGCGGCACCCCTTGAAAAAGATTTTGAAGATCTTTTCAACTACATTCAACCACAACTTTCTTGGTCTTCTCCCTGTTGACTCATTCATTCCTCCTTCATATATTTGTTTTGTGATTCTATATATCAAACCACCTCAATGTATAGTGTTCATAATGGTTTAATCAGTACCTATTCATTGTTGGTGCTGCTCTTTCATCACACATGCTTCTTAAGTACCACACTCCCACTGGACACAACTTTTTTTTTCTCATGGCATACCCAAGTCTCACTTCCATAGTTAAAAAAATGGGCAGAACACAATTTTATGACAGTCATAATAGCTTCTTTCAACAAGTACTCAGCTATTCACAAGACTACCTATTACCTTTCTATCACTACAGGTAGTCCTCCCTTAACAACCACAATAGGGACCAGAAAATTGGTCGTTAAGCAAGACAGTCATTAAGCGAGTCACCAAGTGGCCAGACCTAATTTTACCATTTTTACAATGGTCGTTAAGTGAATCACTGCAGTCATTAAACTCCAATGGCCATTTTTTTGCTGGAATTCACTTAATCACGTGATTTGCTTAATGACGTGGTAATTCACTTAACTGTCATAAAAGTTGCAAATCACGATCATGTGACCACAGGAGTACTGCAATAATTTGCGATGGCCATGAGAGTACAGGTTGTAAAGCACTTTTTCTGAGGTCATCATAACTTTGAACTGTTGTTAAACGAACAGTCGTTAAGTGAGGACTACCTGTATTTGCATGTTTAAACATTTCTCCATTTTCCTCTCTTAAGTAAGCATTCTATCAAGGTATACAATTCATTTACTTCCTGTAATTTTATGCCGTTTATATATAACTTCCAATTGTTTACTCCAATTTCCCTGTCATACACAACTGCTTTGATCTTGGATGCATTAATTTTCAGGTTCATACTCCTTGTGTTGTGCAATCTAATAGTTGCTGCAAATCACTCAGGTTTTCATCCAGCAATAAAACATCTTCATACATAAGGACATACACATTCACATCCCTAACCAATACACCTCTGATGTCACTGCAAGCATTCCTTATACTAAATCTGTTAATCACCCAAAGGAACATTACACATTTTTGTCATACTCCCTGCTTATTAAACCATTTACTAAGTATTCTGGTTTTTTTCGTACATGCTTTACTTCTGTGATATACATTCTAACTGCATTCAGTAACCACATTCAACTCTACATTCACACAAAGTATTCGCTCAAAGTATTCCATCAAACTCACAATGTCATACACTCACAACGTTTTATTTTGAGATAGGCAGACTGATTCAACAAAAGTCTTCCACATCAGTGAGGTTGTGACTACAGGGTAAAAAATATGAATTTCCCAAATTGGAAGTAAGTACTTTTCCCACTGCACCATATGAGCCTATGATAAATGGAACATGCCAATATACAGTGGAACCTCGGTTTACGAACTTAATTCATTCCGTGACTCTGGTTGCAACCCGAATTGGTCGCAACCCAAAGGA